GTGTTGTCGATTTCTCGTGGGGTCTCTACGGATTGCGGAGAAAAATCGTTTACTAGTTGCTGAGACGGGATAGGTGACTGCTGTGAAGCAAAATTTTGATGGTATGCTGTTGTCACGCCGGAGGTTCGGGCGGGCACTACCCTCGCTACCAACGTTGGGTTCGTGTCGGACAGCAGGCATGCTACCACCTACAGTATTCACCTTTCGCGAGTTGGCGGGCAGTACAATGGACATGAGCCATTCGGGAGGTTCGGTCCCATCACGGTGGTGCTGTTTCAGCATCTCCACAATGGGTGCGCCAGCCGGAGATGTAAGAACCTCGGGCTCCTCATCTTCGGGTTCCTCCTCATCGGCCCAACGCCCCTGCTGCTCCCGACCGGCGGCAGGAGGAACATCCTCATACTCGTCTCCACTCTCGCCGTCGACAAACGTGTCGCGCTGACCGGAATCACCGCCATCTTCACCGCCGCTGGTGGCACTCGCGCGGTCGGCACCCTCAGGGTCATCCGACTTTTCCTCAAGAAGGCTGCTATCACCCGAGGGGCGTGAAGCCGGCACGCGTTCCGAGGGTGTCCCACGTGCTAGCGGGGTTGTCGGGTGTTTGGCGGCGAGGCGTTGCTTGAGCTGCTCTAGCTCAGCTTCCAGCTCAAGGCGGCGTTGCTGCTCCTTGAGCCTCTTTTCCTCCGCCGCGTCCGCCTTATCGCGAGCGAATTGCACGGCTGATTTTTTCGGCATCTCTCACCTCTACCTCCAGTACCAGCAGAGTATCTTTTAATTCGTCGACGCCAATGAGGACACAGGCTTCCCTCGTTAGGGGGGGAGGCCCAGGTCGCAGTAGTCTTTTCCCACTACTAAGGGCTGGCAGTTCTCTTCGTCGAGATTTAGAGAGGAGAGGGTCTCAGAAGAGAGAGACAAGAAAGAGAGTGCCGCCGAAGGGGCGAGGGAGACCAAGCCCGAGGGTCTCGGATTCCCAAGCTCCACAGGTGGCGCCAAGAGGGACACAGTCGGGTCTCTTGCTGATCAACCATCAGTAAGATCCTCCGTTCGGATCGTGTCTTGGTCCTACTTTTGCATGTGCAACAACAATGGTTACAGCACTTCTACACCTGTCATCCACAGTAAACAATATTGGGATATATGAGTAGATGGCGTATGGGAAAAGAATTGGCATGCATCTACGCCAACACAAGACTCGGCAACACTAACGCCACGACACGATGCCGGGCCTATGCGGCGTGTTTTTCTTTGAACGCCCCCCCTCCCACAACAGCACCCCAATGATGACCGCCACAAGAAGCGTTTCATAAGGTAGTGGTGATTGGGCTCAGCCTGCAATCAGATGTTTTTCGGCCCCAGTTTATAGCGGCATGAGGGCTCGTGAGAGGACGCAGTCAAATAACTGTGCAAGGGCTTGACGTGTTCAAGGCGACGAAGGGAGCGGTGAGACCGGGCCGAAAACCATGTATCTTTTGCGACGTAAGGAATACCTGCTACAAAAAAAAAAACCTCACACACACACCCGGCACTCACGCTTGTTGGAACGCCCTCTGGTTCCTGGCTCCGAATCCGCCGCTCTGTAGCTTGGACCAGCTCCTCACCTGCCTCACAGCGCGACAGGCGATGGTCTCCGGCGCGCCCAGGTCAGTGAGAGGGGCATGCTCTAGCTCGGCGATGGCGTGCAGGGCGAGCGGGGTCGCGACCTGAAAAGTGTGGATGGAGTACACGGGAATGCGAGGTCGAACTGTTTTGTCTGTGCTTTCTGATGGGCGGAGGGGCGCATGCACGAGAGAGTAGGCCTACGCGGCTGGGACACGGCACTCCCAGCGGAACGGACGAACACATTTTGATCCCGCGGAAAAAAACACATCATGTCGAGACACGAGGAGAAGCGCACATGTGTGGTGGCACTACGCACCTACTTTGGACTGTAGCCGCCAAGCGAAAACACACCTAAGCGCTTCCACGTACCTGGTTGGCGAAGTCGCGGCGGAGGCTGTTCCCGCCGAAGATATCGGCCATGGACAGGCCATGGCGGTCCTTGGCGCGGTGGGCCTTCATCGCGCGAACGAAGGTGGCGTGCATGAAGGCCTCGACGCGGCGGGCGTTCTGCAGACAATGAATGGGGGACAAGGCACGTGAAAGGTAGCAGTTGGGTAGACGGCACGGAGGTACGTGGCGATGCTCAAGCTTCAACACTCGTTCGGCATGACCTTAACGGCCATAGACACTGGTCAAAGCTTTGGGGTATACATCCTCTCTCCCAGGGACCACATACATACGCGCAATCACGCACTCAATGTAGACATATCTACACACCGCTCCCGAAGCACACAAAACAATGAACTCCTAGTATACCTCGCCCCCGTCCGCATCCATGATGTACAGAGAAGCGCGAACCCCGCGGATGAGGTCGGACGCAGTCTCCGCTCTCAGTTTGGCTCGGATCTTGTCGTTGAGAGCGGGTAGGATGATGTGCTCCGCCAGGCCCAAGCGAAGGGCGGCCTGGAGCTCGCTCCTGTACGGCGAGATGTGCTTGGAGAGGATCGCTAGAATGCGGAGACAGAAGGCACCATGGCGCAAGACACACGGCGGCGACACACAGTTTGAACCGGCGTAAAA